CTGATTGATTTCTATGCAGAAGCGCACCTGATTTTGAACTCTCCAGCTTTAGTAAATAAACCCCTCGGAGTGTTGCTGCTGGAGTTGCTTTTTTCCCTCAGGACCTAATCTGACTGGTAATGTTGCTGGAATGTGGATGACATAAACCTCATGATATACATGCTATTGACCACGTAGCTTTCTGGTGAGTGCATAGCGGTGGAGGACCTTGCACTGGAGACAGAGCACTTTGTGGGACTGAGTACTATTGGTCGTGATTGACATCACAGCTCTATATATTTTTACTGAAAGCACTTTATTGTTTACTATTATGTTTATTACACCCGGGACACATTTACTTTGTTTTACTCAATGATTTGTTTTCCTTTTTTAGTTTCTTTTATGCGCTGCACTGCTTTGCATTTACTTTGATATTGAGATTTTATCACTATCTTTTTGTGCCAGCTGCTTCTGTATCTATAGCACTTGACCTTTATTTTTTTAATTTCTAGGTAGTTTAATATTTATTCATTTATTTATTATAGGTACTTCAGCAACATCTTCAGAGAGCATCACACTTGTGAACTAGTCCTTATGGGGACACTTATGGTATAACTGGTGTGGCGGTGATCAGGGACACTTTAACTTGTATGCTGGTGATCAGGGACACTGGGACTGGCATGGTGATGATTATGGACAGTAGGACTGGTGTGGTGGTAATAAGGGACACTAGGACTGGTTTTTGGAGGTGATCAGAGGCGCTGTAACTGATTTGGCACTTATTAGGGACAGTATGACTAGTGTGGCAATGATCAGGGACATTGAGACTGGTGTGGCGGTGATTATGAATACTGTAATATAACTGGTGTGGGGGCAATCAGAGACACTGGTACTGGTGTGGCAGTTATTAGGAACAATATGTCTGGTGTGACAGTGATCAGGGACAATATGACTAGTGTGGTAGTGATCAGGGACAATATGACTGGTGTGGCAGGGATTAGGGACACTGTAACTGGTATGGTGGTGATTAAGGACACTGGGACTGGTATGGCAGTGATTATTGACATGATAACTTGTATGGTGGTGATCAGACACTGGGACTGGTGTGGCGGTGGCTATGGACAATATTACTGGTGTGGCTGGGATCAGGGACACTGGGACTGGTGTGGCAGTTATTAGGAACAATATAACTGGTGTGGCGGTGCTCAGGGACAATATGACTCGTGTGGCGGTGCTCAGGGACAATATGACTGGTTGGCAGTGATCAGGGACAATATGACTGGTGTGGCGGTGCTCAGGGACAATATGACTTAGTGTGGCAGTGATCAGGGACAATATGACTTAGTGTGGCAGTGATCAGGGACAATATGACTGGTGTGGCGGTGATCAGGGACAATATGACTGGTGTGGCGGTGATCAGGGACAATATGACTGGTGTGGCAGGGATCAGGGACAATATGACTGGTGTGGCGGTGCTCAGGGACAATATGACTGGTGTGGCGGTGATCAGGGACAATATGACTGGTGTGGCGGTGATCAGGGACAATATGACTGGTGGGCGGTGATCAGGGACAATATGACTGGTGTGGCGGGGATCAGGGGCAATATGACTGGTGTGGCGGTGCTCAGGGACAATATGACTGGTGTGGCGGTGATCAGGGACAATATGACTGGTGGGCGGTGATCAGGGACAATATGACTGGTGGGCGGTGATCAGGGACAATATGACTGGTGTGGCGGTGTCAGGGACAATATGACTGGTGTGGCAGTGCTCAGGGACAATATGACTGGTGTGGCAGTGCTCAGGGACAATATGACTGGTGTGGCAGTGCTCAGGGACAATATGATTGGTGTGGCGGGGATCAGGGACAATATGACTGGTGTGGCGGGGATCAGGGACAATATGACTGGTGTGGCAGTGCTCAGGGACAATATGACTGGTGTGGCGGGGATCAAGGACAATATGACTGGTGTGGTGGGGATCAGGGACAATATGACTGGTGTGGTGGGGATCAGGGACAATATGACTGGTGTGGTGGGGATCAGGGACAATATGACTGGTGTGGTGGGGATCAGGGACAATATGACTGGTGTGGCGGAGCTCAGGGACAATATGACTGGTGTGGTGGGGATCAGGGACAATATGACTGGTGTGGTGGGGATCAGGGACAATATGACTGGTGTGGTGGGGATCAGGGACAATATGACTGGTGTGGCGGAGCTCAGGGACAATATGACTGGTGTGGCGGGGATCAGGGACAATATGACTGGTGTGGCGGTGCTCTGGGACAATATGACCGGTGCGGCGGTGATCAAGGACACTGAGTGGTGACAGTATGTAACATTTTTTAAACATTTAAACATTTTTTCCCATTTTGTTTTATTATTTTCTATTTTTTTGTCACCAAACATCCACTGGCATTCTTCTCCAGCCCAGCAGCAGCTGGTGGGGCCCAGACTGCAGTTTCTTACTCAGTAAAACTGCCTCCAGGGGCTGCAGCCCCAAGACATCTGGAACCCTCCCTGAAAGGAAAAGGAAACCCTCTGCTCAAGCTTCCTGAACATTTATCACCTCCCCAGCCACCTTCTGGATGTTCTCTTCCAGTGATTGGATGGAGAATGAAGAAAATGTAACTGATCATTTGAGGATCCCTGCCGTATACTCTGGAAACCTCTGTTAGAAGCAGGTGGGAGTAATCAAACTCTCAGCTCTGAAAATCCTGAACAGACAAAACAAATCAGTCACTGTTCTACTCACTACAGTGAAGCCCAAAGTTACATTTAGGGCTCATGTACACTGCAGCTGATAAACTCACATTTAGGAGCTGTTCAGTGTTTTTTTCAGCAGTCCCTGAACTCACCCTAATGTTTTCCTATGTGTCCATGTACACATCTTCATTTACAGTCGTTTACAAGCAGTTGAGTTTACAGTTGTTTTTTTAATGCAACAAACTTGCATTCAGACATCGATTCTATCACCGTTTGATATGCATGACGCGGCTAAACGCGGAAAATCGCGTTTATAAGTGTTTGCGTTTGATATTTTTTTTAACTCTTCCAGTTCCCGGTGCTGTCCAGAGCCTTTTTTCATCATGAAAAATGCATGCAAAGAGTTTTCAAGGTGCTCAGATGGACAAAACACTGAACACAGGATGTTCCTACCAAGCTTGTCACACATTGGAATGACCAATTCACACCTCAGACCTCTCCCACCCTTGGAAACAAAAGATCTGTTAATGCCCATTCACACCTCAAATTCCTCATGAAGACCCCCTGCCAGGTGACCTTAATGACTCCCTCCACCAGACACCTTTCCCACCCTTGGAAACAAGAGAAATGTTAATGAGCAACTCACACCTAATTATCTCAACACATACTGCTGTCTCTGCTTCTACTCTCTGTATTTCTCTGAAACAGTCTGAAATAGTTAATAATTTACCACTTTTCAGTGCATTCTTGGCATTTGGGAGGTTCTCCTGTGCTTATCTTTAAAAAAACGCTTCTGAACGCAAAGGCGTCTAAACAAACGTTTTTTAACCTGCGTTTTCCTGCTGTCAATTTCCAGCGTTCAGAAGTGTTCACCAAACGTCCTGTGTACATGAGCCCTTACCCTAGCACCCTAACTAGAGGAGGACGCTATATCTATATTACATTTTTTTTTTTTTTTGAATATGTAATTTCTTCCGTTAAGCAGCATTATTCTTGTGTTAACAACGTTCAGCATTAGCGTACATTTCCTTTCAGATAATAGCTGGCCTCCGGTCCCAGACAGCAGTTCTTAGTGGAGCAGAAAGCTTGCCGACTCGCACACATATCACTTCAATATCGCAGGAAGCCTGAATGCTCACCTGTGGGCGCACTCCCACTGAGGTGTTTCAGATGAAGCGAACGGCACTGCGGTTATCGCCAGCTCCAGAATAAGAAAGCCTTTTCAGCCGAATCAAATGGCGTTTAACGGTAGATAAGAATAGAGAGGAAAAAGAAAAAAATTACTCAAAATAATTTGACTTCACAGCATCGGCCTCCCCGATGCACAAGATGTGAGATGCCTCTACCACCAGCTGATAAAAACATGGAATTTTAAATTCTCAGATGCGAATGTTTTGAAGATGGTTGGTTTAAAGACAACCTGTCAAAAAGCAAACCACCTGTGCGAGAAGCATCAGAGGGAAGCTGCGCTCTCACTCCCAGGTCACATACTTGCTCTGTTGCTATGATGTCATGGGCAGTGAAGCTATCTGAAGTGTTACTAAACCCACAACAGTAAAATCAGTAAAGCATGCCTGTTATACTCACTGTGGAACCTAAGGGGTTAATCCTCTGCATTCTGTAAAAAGGCTGTTTGATCTTTTCTTCTCTGTTCCTCCCCTTTTTCAAGTGACCACCTCTTATCTCCTGATAAGACATACTGAACCATAGGCATTTTGCACATGCTCAGTTTGGTGTGTATTGCTAAAGAGTTTTTTTTTTCTCTTAGGAGAGTGCATGTAAAAACGCTGTTCGATCTTGACTTCTCTGATCCTCCCATTCTTCCAGTGATTCCCTCTTATCTCCTGATAAGACACTCTGCACATGTTCAGTTTACTGCAGGGGCGGACTGACAACTCATGGGGCCCCGGGCAATAGGGGATCATAGGGCCCCTGTGTCCTCACCCACACTCAAAAAAAGCCTATGAAAAAGCTAATGAAAGGTACCAGGGGCATCTCATGGGGCCCACTACTGACCCCATGAGATGCTTGAATGGTCAGTCTGCCCCTGGTTTAGTGTGTATTGCTAGAGAGGTTTTTTTTTTTCCTTGGGAGAGTGCATGTGATCAGCACAGGGCAAATCGGCGCTAGTCAGACAGAGGTCAGAGGTTTTGCATCCTCCCAGCTTTAACAAGTGCTCTGCTGGACACTGATAAAAGTCACAACACTGCTCTGACTGCTGATGAGAAAAGGTATTTAGCAGTTTATATTTACTAAAATAATTGCATTTTCATGTTCTGTGTACTGTGGGAGACCAGAAATAGGGAATGCAGGGTCCGGGGAGACCAGATATAGTGAATGCAGGGTCCAGGGAGATCGGATATAGTGAATGCGGGGTCCGGGGAGACCAGATATAGTGAATGCGGGGTCTGGGGAGATCGGATATAGTGAATGCAGGGTCCTGGGAGACCAGATATAGTGAATGTGGGGTCCGGGGAGACCAGATATAGTGAATGCAGGGTCCAGGGGAGACCAGATATAGTGAATGCAGGGTCCGGGAGACCAGATATAGTGAATGCAGGGTCTGGGGAGATCGGATATAGTGAATGCAGGGTCCTGGGTTTAGTAACACTTTAGGTTCAGCTTCACATTACTGCCTTGGAGAGGACAGTTGCCATCTGAGACTGGTCTCCCCGGACCCTGCATTCACTATATCTGGTCTCCCAGGACCCTGCATTCACTATATCTGGTCTCCCCGGACCCTGCATTCACTATATCTGCTCTTCCCGGACCCTGCATTCACTATATCTGGTCTCTCCGGACCCTGCATTCACTATATCCGATCTTTCCATACCCTGCATTCACTATATCTGGTTCATTTTAAAAATGACATTTCATTTGCTAAAGTACTGTTTATTATATATACAATGAATTTTTTGGCTGTTTTTATCTTTTTCTATCTCGTTGCTGTTACTATCTCCTGCAGCCTCTTTGCCATCACTTCATGTTTACATGCACTCTAGCAATGGCTGCATTGAATTTCCATGGACAGGTTTCCTGAAAGTGACAAGGCTGGCCCATTCCTGCATAATGTGTGTTAAAACAGCTTTTGTTGAGAAAAAAATACCCTCTGGGTGATCTATGCCGACAGCAAAGATTTTAAGAAACTTTGCAGCAGATTCCAGACTTTTCCTACTCTGAAGAAATAGCTGTCTATTTCACCATTTCCTGGCAGACTGATTCTGAATGGGAGGGATTTGTTCATTATAATCACCTGATGCACGTCCAGTGTTCCAATGAGGAAAGTTGCAGTGTCTGCAGCACAATGGCTAAATGGTTAGCACTGGCAGTACTAGGGTTGTTGATTCAGATACCAGCCACGGCGCCATCTGCCTGGAGTTTGCATGTTCTCCCTGTGCCTGCGTGGGTTTCTTCCGAGTACTCCGGTTTCCTCCCACACTCCAAAGAAATGCAGGTAGGTGAATTGTCTCCTGTCTAAATTGTCCCTAGTATGTGTATGTATGAATGTAAGTTAGGGACCTTAGATTGTACACCCCTTGAGGGTTAGGGACTGATGTGAATGTACAATATATATGTAAAGCGCTGCGTAAATTGACGGCGTTATATATGTACTTGAAATAAATCACCTTAGAAGTATTTAACCCTTGAGAAGTATCTCACTGACATTGCCATTGCAGGGGGTGCCTAAAATTTGACTTGTATCTTAATACAAACTTCTGGGAAAATCAGGCAACCAATCCCACAAGCGGGAAGTGACATTTTTGGTGGCGTTCCGTATACCAGCTGTGTACAGAAGGCCTCCAGGTTGCCATATTGCATTGCATTTTACAGAACGTTAGATTGAAAAGGAAAAGTACTTTTTAATAACATTGAATCACAATATGGCGTGTCTAGCAATTGTATATGCTGTATTATTATTATTATTTTTTTTGTTGATATATTTTTTCGTGGGGTTATCCTTTAAGTGATTGGTCACACCACCCCATAGTTATGTAAATTTATGTAATATATATATATATATTAATAAAGAAATGTGGATTTTTAGAGATTTCTTTTTTTATACATTTTTATATTTTTTTCCTTTCTTTCTTCTTGGCCAGTGCTCTTCTTTCACTTGAAAATATGACTTAGAATAATGAAGAAAAAAAGCAAATCTCAGTGCACAGATTCAGCCAAGAGTAATGGAAATTTTCTGAGACACAGAGAACATTGAAGGATGTCATGAGGGGCACTAAGTTTCTGTCTATCGGCGAGAATAATACTGTTTCTCCGATTACGGCCTGGGCCTGTGGGACGCCAACTTTCAAACTGTTCCGGCACAGGGTTTGTGAAGGATCAAGTGTCATTTTTTTTAATCCCGTCCTCGGTCCTTTTTTTCCCACCTCTTTCATTACTTACAGTTTGCCATGGACAGACTGTGGAGGATATCAAAGTTTATGTGAAGACTGACGTGCATTTCATAGCACTGGGGGGACGCGGGCTGCATTGATATATAAAATGACAGCGCTGTTGCTTTGTGTGAGTCCTTGGCATTTGTCACTCATAACCCCATACATAAGTCAGCACCAGGCTGTGAATTGAATCTCTGGTGGCTTTTCTATGGTAGCTTGGAAGGAAAAGACATGAAAAGACCTCTATGCCTAATACGTAAATTTACAATATGTGAAAAAGCTGTTAATAATATTTAAAAATATCACACCTGTAAAGAAATAGAGAAAACTAATTTTGTGACCTCTCTGTAGAGCCAACTGCTCACTGTTGGCTCTCATCTTAAAGAGGAACTGGAGTCAATGTTAGAAAAATTAAATGCCAGCAGCTACAAATACTGTACCTGCTGACTTTTAACTAGTTCCAATCCGGGCTGATTCTGAAATTCCTCTCTTACATGTAAAAAACATAATTTTTTGCTAGAAAATGATTTAGAACCTCCATTTTTAAATATTTCTCTAAGCAGAATAAAATGGTGGGTGTTGCATATTTTCACACAATAACACAATATTTGCTCAGAAGTTTTTCAAATGCAAAAAATGTATATATATATATATATATATATATATATATACAGTTGCAAGAAAAAGTATGTGAACCCCTTGGGATTACGTGGAGTTTTGCATGAATTGGGCATAAAATGTGCTCTGAACGTCATCTAAGTCACAACAATAGAAGAACACAGTCTGCTGAACATAATACTACACAAACATTAGATGTTGCCATGGTTTAATTGCACATAACATGTAAACATTCACAGTGCAGGGAGGAAAAAGTATGTGAACCTTTGATTTAATAACTGATTGACCCTCCTTTGGCAGGAATAACCTCAACCAAACGTTTCCTGTAGTTGCAGATCAGACCTGCACAACGATCTGGAGTCATTTTGCACCACTCCTCTTCACAAAATTGTTTCAGTGTAGAAATATTCTTGGGATGTCTGGTGTGAATCGCTCTCTTAAGGTCATGCCACAGCATTTCAATCGGGTTGAGGTCAGGACTCTGACTGGGCCACTCCAGAAGGCGTATTCTGTGCTGTTGCAGCCATTGTTTTGAAGAATTACTTGTATGCTTTGGGTCATTGTCCTGTTCCATCACCCATCCTCTGCGGAGCTTCAGTTGGCGGACAGATGGTCGTACGTTTTCCTGCAAAATGTCTTGATAAACTCTGGAATTCATTTTCCCATCAATGACAACAATCCATCCAGGCCCTGAGGCAGCAAAGCAGCCCCAAACCATGATGCTCCCTCTGCCATGTTTTACAGTGGGGATGAGGTTTTGATGTTGGTGTGCTGTGCCTTTTTTTCTCCTCACATAGTGTTGTGTGTTCTTCCCAAACAACTCAATCTTGGTTTCATCTGTCCACAGTATATTTTGCCAGTAGTGCTGTGGAACATCCAGGTGCTCTTTTGCAAACTTCAAACGTGCTACAATATTCTTTTTGGACAGCAATGGCTTCCTCCGTGGTGTCCTCCCATGTACTCCATTCTTGTTTAATGTTTTCCTTATTGTAGATGTGTCAACAAAAATGTTAGCATGTGCCAGAGATTTCTGTAGGTCTTTAGCTGACACTCTGGTATTCTTCTTTACCTCATGCAGCGTTCTGCGCTGTGCTCTTGCAGTCATTTTTACAGGACGACCACGCCTAGGGAGAGTAGCAACAGTGCTAAACTTTCTCCATTTGTAGACAGTCTGTCTTACCGTGGACACATGAACATCAAGGCTTTTGGAGATACTTTTGTAACCCTTTCCAGCTTCATGCAAGTCAACAATTCTTGATCATAGGTCTTCTGAGAGCTCTTTTCTGCGAGGCATGGTTCACATCAGAGAGTGCTTCTTGAAACCAGTAAACCCAAAACAGGTGTGTGTTTTTTAAGGGCAGGACAGCTGTCAGCAACACATCTAATATCATCACACTGATTGGAGTCAAGGTTGGCTCACTCCTGGCTCCAATTAGCTCTGGGAGAAGTCATTAAGCTAGGGACTCACATACTTTTTCCTCTCTGCACTGTGAATGTTTACATGTTATGTGCAATTAAACCATGGGAACATCTAATGTTTGTGTAGTATTATGTTCAGCAGACTGTGTTCTTCTATTGTTGTGACTTAGATGACGTTCAGAGCACATTTTATGCCCAATTCATGCAAAACTCCACGTAATCCCAAGGGGTTCACATACTTTTTCTTGCAACTGTATGTGTGTGTGTGTATTATATATATATATATATATATATATATATATATTTGGTACTGAGGCTGGCCACCACCACAAGCACCAGTCCATGCACACCGGCTCCAAAAAATCAGTCTTTTTAATATGTATTGCCTCATTCAGGTGCATGGGTGGCGTTCAATGGTTGGTACTGCCTGCCAAGTGTGAAGGGGAGATCATTTTAGTTTTTTAAAGCGTAACTAAACCCTCCTATCCTTTACAACCAAAGAATCTGCCATCTTAGCCTCTGTTTAATCTGCAGTTGTCCTGATGCTGCACATACAATCAGTTAAGACACCAACCATTTGATGGTTTGACAGATCAGTGGAGAGCAATTATCATTTACAGCATGCCTTCAATGTAACTGCTTTGGGAGTTAAATCGATGGGTTCAGTTCAGTTTTAACAAAGCCATGTCACTTTGCATCACATGGCTTTGTACATCAACATCGCAGCACACGGAATGAGGTGGAGCGGATTAGGGAATGTACATCATGGCATATAGAATGAAGCACAGTGGAATAGGAAATGTACAACGTGGCATACAGTATAAGGAGGAGTACATTAGGAAATGTACAGAGTCCAAATCTGACAGCCATGTCTGACACCGGCAGCCCCATTATTGGTATCAGTGGAAGGAATAGTGCTCCATCATTCGTGTCAGTGGAAGAAATTGTGTCACATTATTGGTGTAAGTGGTAAGAATAGTGTCCCATCATTGGTATCAGTGGGAGGAATAGTGTCCCATCATTGACATCAGTGGAAGGAATAATGCCCCATCATTGATATTTGTGAAAGGAATAATACACCATTATTGTTATTTGTGGATGGAATAGTGCCCCATCATTGGTATCAGTGGGAGGAATAGTGCCCCATCATTGGTATCAGTGGGAGGAATAGTGCCCCATCATTGGTATCAGTGGGAGGAATAGTGCCCCATCATTGGTATCAGTAGGAGGAATAGTGCCCCATCATTGGTATCAGTGGAAGGAATAGTGCCCCATCATTGGTATCAGTGGAAGGAATAGTGCCCCATCATTGGTGTCAGTGGGAGGAATAGTGCCCCATCATTGGTATCAGTGGAAGGAATAGTGCCCCATCATTGGTATCAGTGGAAGGAATAATGTCCCATCATTGGTATCAGTGGAAGGAATAGTGCCCCATCATTCGTGTCAGTGGCAGGAATAGTGTC